AAGTTTGTTTGACGTTCAGACTCGCCTTTTTCCTAAAACTTGACTCTTTTTCTGTTCCTGAACTATTTCTCTGTCCATCACCTCGTAACTTTAATCACTTCCTGCTTATGTTTGTCGCACTTCCTGTTGAAACGGTAACATTATTGGTCACATTGACACCAGGTGTCTCCTGTCCCCGGCTCCAATCGGTCAAGCTCTTATCTCTAGTTAAGGGTTCAGCGTGGTTTGCAGTGCCCATTGATGCAAGGCATTCTGGGAAAAATGAAGTGAAGTTGGTGTGTTTGACAGGGACTTTGTTCTTCTGTAACTCCATTTGTTCCTCTCTGTGTTGGTGCACATTTATGACAGCGGGCCCCTGGTGTCACGATTTGAGGAGGATGGTTTGGACCCAAAACGCAGAACCCAGGATGACAAGAGGCAGAAGGTGGTTCAAAGTTAAATCCTTTTATTTTAGGACAAGGAACAAAAGTAATCCGAGGCAGCGAGCCAAAGTCCAAAACGTCCTGGAGAACAGAAACACCCAAAGCTCTTCTTAGAGCACAAAAACCTGGAGACAAAGTTCATACAGAGCACGAGCATCGCAGACAACATACAACAATAAACCGACACCAGACACAGACCAGACAGAGCTTATATACACAGGGAGAAGTGATTAGGGAAAATGGCAGCAGGTGTGTGAAGTGAGAGCTGGAGGGAAGACAGGTGAATATAATAATCAAAATGGGCAAACAGAAACAGAGGAGGGCCAAATAAACCTAAGAAACTCTAAGACACCAAAACTAAACCTAAAGGAAGGACTAACACACACACACACACCAATGCACTAATATATAAACAGGAAAGGGGAATGGACAAGCACACACACACAGAACTACACACACACACACACACACACACACACACACACACACACACACACACACACACACACACACACACACACACACACACACAAACACTGACCAGGAGACTGAATCTCACACACACGTTGAGCTGGGGACAAAGAAGCTGGGGACTACAAGGACACAGAATGTAAATGAGACCTGGAGGACCTGGGGATGAATGAGATGACACAAGACCTGGGAGGAATAGACTTAAAGGACTACAAACATAAGACACTAAACTGACACGCAGAAAAAGAACACATGAGGGCGCCAAAGAGCTACAGCATAAGACACATAACAGGGATGCAGACAAGGACACATGAGGGCGCTAAGAGAGCACAAGGGGAGATCCTGGAGCGGAGCACAAGAGGAGCTGGGGAACAAAGGGACACAAGAGGGAATCTAGAGAGGGATGGAGAACACCAGGAGGCACAAAAGGGAAGGGGCTGACGCAGACCATGACACCTGGAGGATATCTGCTGTCTCCTAAATACTGATATTGGCATAAAAGTAGAATAAAGATGTCCAGAACCAAACAGCAGATGGAACTTTGAGTGCAATCATTTATTAGATATGAACAAACTTCTTTATCTACTTCTGCATTGTTTCTGATTCTTTCTGATTCAGTTCAATTCAATTCAATTCAAAAATACTTTATTAATCCCAGAGGGAAATTGATTGCTGTAGTAGATCAGAATAATAATAATAATCAAGTCATCAAAGAGTTGTTGTATATTACAATGGCTGTTGGCAGGAAGGATCTCCAGTAGTGGTCAGTGTTGCAGCCAAACTGAAGAAGCCTCTGACTGAAGACACTCTTCCATTGTCGGACAGTCTTGTGAAGAGAATGCTCAGGGTTGTCCATCATTTTCTTGATTCTCTGGAGAATCCTTCTTTGCACTATCTACTCCAGCGGTTCCACAGTCGTCCCCAGAACAGAACCAGACTTTTTTATTAGGCTGTTGAGCCTTTTCAGGTCCCTGCTTCTGATGCTGCTACCCCAACAGACGATGGCTGAAGAGATACACTCTCAACAACAGACTTGTAGAAGATCTGCAGCATCTTGCTACAGACATTGAAGGACCTAAGCGTCCTCAAGAAGTGCAGTCTGCTGTGTCCCTTCTTGTAAACGGCTTCGCTGTTCTTTCTCCAATCCAGTCTGTTGTCCAGGTGAACTTCAAGGTATTTGTATTCCTCAACCACCTCCACTTCTTCTCCCATGATGGAAACAGTGTTTGACTCCACCCTGTTTCTTCTGAAGTCTAAAATCATCTCCTTTGTTTTGTTCACGTTCAAGGTCAGATGATTGTTTCCACACCATGCCACAAAGCGCTCCACCATCTCTCTGTACTCAGCTTCCTGTCCATCTCTGATACACCCGACAACTGCAGAGTCATCTGAGTATTTCTGTAGATGACAGGTCTCTGATTTGTACTGGAAGTCTGAGGTGTACAGGGTGAAAAGGAATAGTGAGAGTACAGTCCCCTGTGGTGCTCCAATGTTACTGATCGCCTGGTTCGATGTGCAGTTCTTCAGCCTCACAAACTGTGGTCTGTTTGTCAGGTAGTCTTTAATCCAGGTGATAGTTGAGGCCCCCACCTGTGTCTTCTGGAGTTTCTGGCTGAATTGTGTTAAATGCACTGGAGAAATCAAAGAACATGACCCTGACAGTGCTGCCTGCTTTGTCCAGATAACAGTGGATTGGTTGAAGCAGCTGGATGATGGCATCTTCAACTCCAACTCCATGGCGATAAGCAAACTGCAGCGGGTCCTGATATGTTCTAGTTTGCTTATATGCTTAAATAAGCAGAACAGTTTCCCGCCTATAACATCTGCAACATTTTGTTGACTTTAAAGGGGTGCTCCGAGTTTAGTCTGTTGCCATAATCCCCAAATTTAGATAAGTGGGAAAAATAATTTTTAACCAGCCCAGTCACTCTCCTAAGTGTTCTGTTAGCTGTAGCTTAGCATAAGCAATGTAAGTGAATGGTAACAGCTGGCATTTCAGTCATTAAAATTCAAAAAGACGCCTACTTCTCCAAACACAAATGTGCCGCCGGCTACTGGTACAGAAGTAAGTTGATCTAAAAATGGCCACGGTACGTGATCGATGAAGTAGCTGTCCTTCAGAGCGGCTGCAACGTGTCCTTACAGCAGCAGCTTAGATCCTTACTTCGTCGTAACGTAGTCCCAAGTCTACATTATCTCTAATTCCTTTGTGTTACCAGTTGTTATTTTGGTGACATTGTACAAAAAGGGTGCCTTTATCAATGTTACTTAATGCATTATTAAGCATTAATAAACTATTAAATAAAGTATTGTGAACTGCTTAATATTAATGTTATTATTAAGTGATGGATTACTCAGCAGACAACCCCACCTGCCTCCACCCTTTATTCTAATCTTAAGGACACTTCGTAGTTAACAATAATAAAGAGATCCTTTGTTACCCTCAGGGTTCATTTCAAGATCCTGGTTCTGGTCTATAGGGCCTTACATGGACAAGCACCATCTTACATTGGTGATCTTCTTAGTCCCTACACCCCCAGCAGGTCCCTGAGGTCCAGTGATCAAAGCCTACTGGTTGTGCAGCAGCAGGCTAAAGGTCAAAGGTGACAGATCATTTGCTGCTGTGGCCCCCAGACTCTGGACCTCTCTCCCCCTGAGTCTGAGATCAGTGGACTCAGTGGTCTCCTTTAAACTCACCTGTTCAGGCTTTGGTGGGACCTTCATCACCCTCTCCTTGTTCTGCTCTTATTCCGCCTTTCCCGAGATCCACTGATTTCCCTCTTTCCTGTTCATTTTCTCCCCTTTTCCTTATATATGGTTTTCTTTTCTCCTTTTAAACATGTTTTAATCATTTTTTAAATGTTTTAACTCTTTAATTGTTTTTTTTTGTGAAGCGCCTCGTGAGAGGCGCCGTATAAAAGATCGTCTTCTTCTTTATTAATGTAACAGTAATAAAGGGACACTTATTATTAAGTGTTATCCTTATTTTCGTTTGCAGTTGACCAAGAAACGTTTGGATCATTGCTGACTAATTTCTGTGACTTTTTTCACACAAAATGCTAGCTGTTACCATTCACTTACATGTTTTATGCTAAGCTAAAGCTAACAGAATACAAAGGAGGGTTACAACATATTTTTTCCTACTAATCTAACTCTGAGGAATATGGCAACAGACTAAATTTCACTTAGAAGTCCATTTAAAGCGATATTCAAATAAAAGAAAGAAAGTGACAGAAGTAACATGAGAGGAAGCTGTGTGTGTGTGGGGGGGGGGATTTTTACAGCTGATGCTAATTTTGTTTAGGCCTGTTAAAGTTGTGGGGCAGCTCTTTCCGGCGGTGACATGTGGGATTGTGTCTCTGACGGGTGTGGAGCTGAGTGACTCTGTGTTTGACAACAGTTGTGTCGTTCAACAACTCTTTCCTGACGCTGAATCAGTCTGAAGGCGGGTGAGTTTGAGAGGTTTCGAAAGAGCATCTGGATGCTGAATCCGTTCGTAAAGATGCTTTTAATTGTTACAAATCTGGATGTCAGCGTTTTCCTTGTTCTCCCTCTGCTGCAGGACATGACTCCACTAAAGGCTGACTGTGTCCACGTGAAATCTGGACTTATTCATACACGTTTGGATAGATGGCTTCAGCCCTACAACAGTGTATTTACTTGTCAACTATTCTTGCAGGAGACGGAGTAAATGCAGACAGAACAAACCACTTGTGTTGCAGGAGAGCTGCAGAGCTTCATGCAGGTCTGAGGCTGCAGGCTGCAGACCTCTGGCTGAGTTTATAAGCCCCAAGATGAAGGAACTTTCTTATCACAGTCTCTTCCATCCGGCTTTAGCAGAGACACGGTGATTATATTCTTGTATGGGATATCTTTAGTAGGAGGAACGGTCTCCAGAAGGGAAACGTGTCACCGTTTTATCCTCACCATCATCTGAATAATTCAGCTCAGTTTTAAAACATGTTTTCTTTTATTTAAACACACTCGGGCTTGTGTTTGGGACAGTGGAGGTCAGAGGTCACAGCATTGTTATTTGCTGTTTTGTAAAACTGGTTCTGTGGCTGAGATCTGAATCTTTAGTTAATGACCTGTTTGACCTCTCTGTAGGGCCGCCCGCTCTTCCTCCAGTCATCCAGAAACGTTTCGGTCAACATCGTCAACAGCAACAACCAGCTGCTCACGCAGCTCATAACAGGTAAGACTCACCAACCGCATGATGGGTTTGATTTCTATAAATAATACCAGTTCTGATTAAATCCTCATCACGAGCCGTGGTCTTAATGTTCATGTTAGCAGGTGCAGAAACTGAAACAAGGCAGTCCTCGTGCCTAAAAAAAATAATCCCAGTCAGAAAAAACTACCTGCATGAAGACACTGCGACCTGTGGTGGCTTCATGTTCTACAACGCCATCTGAAATGACTAAACTACCACTTATCTGATCTTAAAATGAAACTTTAGTCCTGTAGTTTCACAGATATTAGAATGTTAGACGAGAAGACCAGTGGTGAACATGAGATGAAGATAAACCAGAAGAAGAGTTTAGGATTCAGAGCAGAAGGCTTCTGAGGAACGTACAAAGCCTGAGGAAGAGAAAGACCTGCTAGTAACGTAGAAATGGACCTTCTGTTATCGTTGTGAACTCGTTATGGTTGGTTTATGTTTGACGCGTCCGCGAGGTCCACGCGGCGAAATTGCGTCATTTTAACAACCACGCCCCTCCACCGCGTCTCCGCACGGCCCAAAATTTACGCACCGTGCACCTAGGAAATGTTCTAACCAAGCGGACGGTCGGACGTGGAAAAACATGGCGGACCGGCAATAACTAGTATGGCAGAGGTTCGTAAATACAGACATTTGTATGATTCAGCTCTCAGAGATCACCGTGATCAACATGTTGTTAATAATTCTTGGAGAGAAATAGCTCGCACTGTCGGAAAAGACGAGGATGCTGTTGAAAATGCTGGAATGCCATGTTGTAAACAGTAATTTCTACTTCTACTATGGTATAGTGTTGGATGCATGCCGTAGAGCTCCATGCTGCCCCCTACAGTTTGGGAGAATATTGGCTCACCGCAGAGACGAGCCGCATGAACCATAAACGCTGCGAGTTGTGAAGCGCGTTCCATCCGCGAGCCGCATCACCAAGCGGAAAGTGAATGCGTCAAGCATAAACCAAGCTTTAGTCTGGCTGAACCGACGTCTTCTGCATGTAAACGGACACTCGCCTTCCAGAAGTGATGAGATCACACAAGTGGTCTTCTGTCATCACCACTAAGTGACATCGTAAAACAGGACAGGACGTACCAAACAAGCTGGGCTGCAGCGTTGTTATCCATGCCTGCAGCCACTGCTCATGTCCTGCTTTACCAGCACTAGTTTCCTGTTTGTGTTGCTGCAGGCTAACCAGAAGAACGTTGTCATGAAAGGGTGCATGTCGCGCAGCGTAGCGGGAGTCTGACGTTCTTTCATTTGGTTTTCCAACACATTCTCACTCCCGGCGCGTCAAAAACAAACGCTTTTCCTTGTACCAGTCGTGTTTTTATGATGACAGTTGCTCCTTCCGCACCTGTCACACTCTAAAAGAGTTCACAGCCTTTGGTGAATCAGGCTCCCTCTGAGTCAACAAGCTCAGGAAGTGTCTGCACGTTACAAAAGCTCGCTGACCTTTTGTCTTCTGGGTCTGAACAGGACACAAGTCGAGTATTCTCTGGTGTTTTTCACGGACGACTGAGCAGTTTCCATGTTTATGGAGCAACTTAACACCAAAGACGGAGAGTGACACAATCAATTTCTCAGTTGTCCATCAGAAAGCCCTCCATGGCGAGTGCTTTCTGCTGCAACTGGACAGATTTGTTTGCATGTATTTTCTCACACCAGTCAGAATCTGAAGTTTGCTGCAGACGTTTGTTGACAGGCTGATGGTTTGTTTGTATGTTTTATTTAGAGGTGTTACGGCTGCTGTTTCAAAGAATTTCATCACATCGAGTCAACTTTCAATCATTCTGTTCCTTTCAGCATCTTTGGTTCGTATTTCTATGAACTGAGATTCTACTGATCTTATGTCTTCATTTACTGAAGATTCAAATGAAGGAATCAGGTTTCCAACGTTTCGTTTCCTAAAACTTTGAAGCCTAAATTTGAGCGTTTTCCGACTTCCGGAGTTTAGTGGAATAAATGCAGCCGTGTTCCGCTTTCCCCCTTCTGGTTTGTTTTCCAGTCGGATCTGGAAAGACAGACTCGGTTTGTTTATAGTGTCAACAGGATGCAACGGTGAAACCAAAAATTAGCTACTAATTAGTTATAGATCAGTGGTCACGAGGAGTCCTCATCGGAGGAAATCCACTAACTTTCAGGGAGGTATGGACCTTGCTGTAGAGAAATAACTGATATTAAATTACTTAAAAATAACTGAATATTTCTCTTAAATCTTTACCTTTAATGAGGTCTAATGCAATATGACCAGAAAACTCAGATTCATGCGCCTAAAGGAGCTTCCTGTATTTTAAGTTATTGTTCATTTATAGGACAACAAAGGTAAGCTTGATCAGTAAAGCCTGCAAGTCCTGCAGGATGGATTAGCCCCGTTTTCATTTGGATGAATTTTCAGGCTTTTAAAAAATTTCGAGTTATTCCAGTCAGATGTCGGCTGCAGCTCCAGTCCTGCTCTTTGATGTCTTTTTTCTGTCTGTGTTCACTTTAGGATCCAGTGGATTTAAAGCACGAGGCAAGATGTTTGAAGTCAAATCCACCTCTGGGAAGCTCCTCTTCTCTGCTGACGAGCAGGAGGTGGTGGTGGGAGCAGAGAGGCTCAGAGTCATGGGTGAGTGAGACGTTTGGAGGCAGAAGCTCAAGCTGTGGCTGACTGATGCTGAAGTCTGAAATATTTTTCTTTTTGGCATGAAGGCAGCTAGCCAAGCGTTAGCAAATGTGGAGAAGAAAGCATGCGAATCTAGCCGTAATGTGTGTAACATTAACATTAAGTTAAAATCAGAGTCATGTCGTGATTACAGAGCAGTTCAACAGGTAACTAAATATGTAATCTTACTTTTTTCTGTTGTGGTAAGTAAACTAGAGTCTGCTTCCGAGAGGGTCAAAGTTCAGAAGCTCTAGTTTCATATTACAAATTTAAAGGATAAATCATATTAGTTGCTTGAATAATGAAAAAAACATTTCTTTGAATAATAATAATAATAATAATAATAATAATAAAATGTGATTAAAATCAGAAGTGCTGAAGCAGAGAAAAACAAAATGTGCTGGGTCTAAGCCCTCGAGGAACCGGGCTGGACATCACCGATCAGGGATGGGTAGCTTTGATATTTAAATCGATTCGGTACCCAGGTATCGATACCGGTACTTAATGATACCAATTTTCACCACTTTTGAGTGTTTATTAAAGAGCAGATTAAGGTGATGATGCCTCACCCAGTCACCCAACGCAGTTAGTGAAGTGGACCCAAACTTCAGAGGCGTTCTGGCAGCCACGCTGCTTTCTCTGCTTACAGCTCGTCTTTAGCGACCGACGACATCACGCTGCTGTCTATCTTGGCAAAGTTCTCGTTAAAGGACGGGTACTGAAACAAGGCACCATTTCATATCACGTGAATCTGTCCTCGGTCAACACATTCTCACACCCGAAGCGGCTAAAACTGACGAAGGGTGACCAAGCGTTTGTTTCCTTTGGAAGCCTCAACGCATCAGGAGGTGACGCTCTGTGCCATGGCGTCGCTTTCCAACGCCCGCGGTAAAACGGAGATTTTACCAAATTGTGACCTTTACCCTCTTGCAATTTAACCTTCCCCTCACCCCCATCCTAACCTTAACCCACTTGCACATGCAAAAAGTTTGTTTCTAGTTGTATTGTTCCTCTCAAACATGGTTAACGGGAAATTTAGAACGAGAAACTGGGTAAATGTTAGATTGGTGGTGAGGGAAAGGTTAAATCGCTAGAGGTTAGAGGTTAAATGTCGGTGAAATTTCCATTTTATCGTGGCTGTCGGAAAGCAACACTGGCACGACGCATAGCTTTCCGACGCGTCGGGGCTCCCAGTGTGTCGGAAAAAAACGCTTGGTCACCCTTCGTCTGTTTTATTTATTTATTTATTTATTTATTTATTGTGTGTCCTGTCTGGCTGTGAAGCAAACAAAATTGATGTCTGAATGCTGGTGAAGAGCCTTACAGATTTACTCTCAGGTGGAGCATCAAAGCGTCTGCTTTTAATGTCACGCCTGATACTTAAAACTTTATTGTTATTGTTTTTGAATGCTTTGTAATTCCGATCAGACACGGAGACAGAGGTGAAAGAGAAAGGAAAAGACAAAAGGTGGGTTCCACAAAAATAAACAATGATGAACAAGAATCTGCAGAACTAGACCTGCAGAGAGAAGAAAAAAAATACAAACAAAAGGGACACAACAACAATACAACAAGATCAAGCTATCACTGCATCAACTTGATGAAGAAATAGATAATCAACATTGTTTAACTGAAGAATCACACAATAATAAATCACAGTGCATTAAGTGCCCACCATAGTCTTAAGACATGTGTTGAACGTGCCCAAGCCCATACTTTTGAGAGCACCATGTGAGCACCTGTGTGTGTACACGGGCTTGTTTATGTAAGGTTTCTCTATAGGAGCATCCAATAGAGAGTGTGAGGGACCACAGATCTGCCCCCTAAAGATGTGTAGGAGACGGGGGGAGCTCCAAGTCCCAGAGATCCAGGAGCTTCCCCAGAACACAGGAATCCCAAGAAGACTGCAACCAGGAAGGTCACCGCCCCCCTTGAGAGGCGCAGAGGATCGCCCCGGGGGGCCACAACCAGCAGCCGGCAGAGTCCCGGGAAATATCGGCGGCAAGCCCACAGGCCCGCCCACAGCCTCCCACCCCCTAGCCGGCCGAGCCCGGGACCCAATGACCCGTGACCCGGGGCGACCACCCCCCGCCGGGGACCCAGCAGAGCCCAGGGACCCAGACCCCACCAGGCAGTGAGAGAATGTGTTGCCTCGGTAGATACCACAGAATTCGGCCGGTGTCTTAAAAGTACCGAATTCGGTGCCTGGCCCTACCACTGATTAGCAGAATAATTCAGATTGTTGATGCACAGAGGTTATCTCATAGGTTCTGGTGCTCCGGTTATTAAAAATGTAAAAATCATAACAGGAGAAGTACTGAAGTTTTAACTGAGAGTATTTAACCCACTTATTCCAGTAGTTTATTGTATTTCAACAGTTTTAGTTTTATGACCAAGCTACGTTTCTGTCTCAGCAGTTCCTTTACAAATGTGATTCCATTCCATTTAAACCGGAATGGTTCATGATTTTGTCCTAAGAGGTTCTGAGTTGTGGATTTAGGACCAGCTGTTATTCCTGAATGCTCCAGTTTTTACAAAGTCAAAATCTGAAGTAGAGGTTAATTTCTAACACAAACATTGTTGATGCCAAAGTTGGTTTAATAATCCTAAACTTTAAGTGCGTATGGTCTTTAACGAGTATCCAGCTGTTAGTAGCTTTACTGAAGTACAGAAGAATCTCGAGTCCAAGAATGAGTTTGTTTCTCTGGAAATTTAAATCTGATAAAGTTTAAATTTTTGAAATGGTTGTGGATGCACTAGAAGGAAAAAAATAATGATGCATTCTTGTTTTCCTGCTTGGACCTCTAGGCTCCAGTAGCAGCTTTGCTCTACTTTTGTAGCAGTTTTATCTTCTATGTTTTACATGTGACAGATTGATCATGTAGGAAGTTTTATCTAATTGGTTGTTAGGCGTTGGTAAAAGTGTTTACGTTTCTGTAGTTTTAAAGGCAGTGGCGGTTTTACATAGAATTACTCCCCGGGCGAGGCCCCCTTTGAGCGCCCCCCCCCAAACGCCCCCCCCCCCCCCCCACCACCACCCCACCCCACCTGCATGAACACACGCATGTTTTCTACAAACAGGCATGCTTTATTAGAACGACTATTGAACATTCATTTTTCTAAGTTGCACATATTTACATTAATTACTATGAAGTTGTCAGAATGTAAAGCACTATACATTATATACTGTATCAAAATATATAGAATCAAATATACAAAAACAAACAATAACTAAATATTAAGAATATATGAACATAATAGATAATAAATATTCTAAATAGCAAATATGTTTCACACATAACAAACTAAAGATAATCACTACAGCATTGCACTTAGAACAGAAAACACAAACTAAAATTAAAACCTAACCTTGATGCAGTCATCAATAATGTCATCACATGAAATCTGCTCCCCTGCTGAGTGATTGATACTAATCAGAGCCAGGTCAGTGAGCCGCCCCTGAAACATAGGTGACCTCAGGTTGTCACGTCTGGGTGGCAATTTCTTGACCCACGACATGCTGAATCCAAACACGGAGAACAGGAATGTAAGTAAAGGTCTTTATTTCTAAATAAGGGAAAAGTGAGAGACGGGAACCGACGAGATGCAGGACTGGCAGCAGGAATCCAGGAGAGTTTCTAAGGAGGGAGACAGAGTGAATATAAGGCGGAAAACAATGGGAACTTATCTGGAGACTAGTCTTACTGTCAACCGGTAGTAGTAATGGCATGGGACGGATTGTCGGGTCCGGGTGAGCTGATGAGATCCACAGGTGAGGTATAGGTTGTCCAGGGGTGGAGGAGCAGGAATGGATGTTGGTTGGTGAGCGGCTGAGAGCGGGCGGCCAGGGAAAGAAGCAGTGCGTCAGGTAAAACTGAGATCCGGGCTTGTTCTGGAGCTGATGATGAGTGGAGAGAAACCTGGAGGGGAGCAGGAGAGGGCATCAAGGTATTTACTGGCTACAGGTTAACAAGAATACAAATACTAGTTCCAAGGTCAGGTTGAGGCTGAAGCTACCCAAACAGAGTAATCATCCGGCGTGGTGATGTGTCGCACTGCTCCTTAAATCCCCTGGGCCTGATGAGGAGATCAGCTGCAGCTGGAGCTCTCAGACACGCCCACCTGTGGAAACAATGCTCAGAGGGAAAAGCCAGGTTACTTGCAGTCAGCTCACCACGGACCATGACAGTACCCCCCCCTCAACGGACGCCACCCGGCGGCCGAGCAGAGGAGGAGGAGGCGGAGGAGGAGGAAGCCCGAGAGGCCTCGAAGTCCCTGATGAGGTCCGGGTCAGTGATGAACGAGCGGGGAACCCAGGAGCGATCCTCGGGACCGTAACCCTCCCAGTCCACCAGGTACTGGAACCCACGGCCCCGGGGGCGGACATCAAGGAGGCGACGGACAGGCTACACCAGACCACCTCCGACGAGCCTGGCCGGCGGAGGAGGAGCAGGAGCGGGACACAGGGGACTAGAGAGGACAGGTTTAATCAGGGAGACGTGAAAAACAGGGTGGACCCTCATGGACGGGGGCAGAGCCAAACGGACGGTGGACGGACTGATGACAACAATGGGGTATGGACCGATGAACCGGGGAGCCAGCTTCCTGCTGGTGTCCTTCAGGCGGATGTCCCTGGTGGACAGCCAGACCTTCTGCCCAGGGGTGTACACCGGAGCTGGTCGTCGGTGTCGATCCGCAAGGCGGCGGTTACGGTCTGCAGTCCTCTGCAGAGCCGCCGTGGTCTGGACCCAGGCGCGCTTGGCACGGCGAATGAACTGGGGAGCGGAAACAGGAGGATCTTGGGTAGACGGAAAAAGAGGAGGCTGGTAGCCAAGAACGGTTTCAAATGGAGACAGGCCAGTGGATGCAGACGTATGAGCGTTATGGGCGTACTCTACCCAGGGAAGTTGGGAACTCCAACTAGAGGGGTTGGAGGAACAGACACACCTGAGCATGGCCTCGAG